CAGCAGGTTCTCTTTAGTAGTATAGGCATAATTGCAAAGTTGAATCTAGGTTCGGTCTTCATGCAGAGCAAAAGCTACTGCTCTTGGTAAATCTTTAAGTACCAGATTTCTTGTGCTCTGCCTCGAGGATATAGGATACTGCATCCATCTAACTAATTGGTCCCGAAACGTGAACGTATATTATTACAACTATCCTTATATAAAATTAAGAACAATTCTTCAACAACTGAATACAACTATTATACATAATGTTCAATCACACACTTCTTACGTTGAAGGGCTCTAAACCCTAAACCTTTAAAGAAAGCTTACCTTACCAATTCTAGCTTACCATTTGGACCCTACAAGGGGTTTTATTGGCTATACAGTTAACATGATTATGAGCTTCCATTATCCTTTCGCATTCAGTCAGACTGTAGAGATTTGAATCAATTAAAAGTTATTAAATACTTTAATCCAATTACCATTTCAAGAACAATTACATGAATGCATTGATACTTACATGTCGCTTTCGAATTTCTTCAATATTGATACGCTGGGGTCCATTTGAAGGTTATCATCTTCGCGAACAAAGATTGAACTTTCAACATATAACCATTCAAAAACAGCAAACTTTAAAACCTAACCCCTCTTTCTGAAGACTAACATTCTAAAAAATTAGGATTTCGACAACATACCTGTCGAACACATGAAGGGGAAAAAAAGTGTCCAATCTGGAAATCAATCAAAAACTAATTTGAATACCATAATATCGATAAAATTACATTAAGAATTGATCGTAACTGTTATGAACGCTGGTATTCGTTGGAGTGGAAGAGTTTTCTTTTGCCTTTAGGGTTTGTATAGCGTTACATATAAATATTGAAGGAAAAAAAGTATCGACACAACTTTAAACAATGTCGATACATTATGTAGACCTATTTTCTAATTAACCGGTATATTTCTACCGGTTACATTGGAAATTTACCTATTACATTATATTTATCAGTTTCGATATTTATGGGATCGATACTTTTTATAAATGTATTGACATTTTATTCGTACACCCCGTTAGGCATTCTTTCTGGTAAAAAAGTATCGACACAACTTTAAAAAGTGTCGACACATTATGTAGACCTATTTTCTAATTAACCGATATATTTCTACCGGTTACATTGGAAATTTACCTATTACATTATATTTATCGCTTTCGATGTTTATGGGATCGATACTTTTTATAAATGTATTGACACTTTATGCGTGCACTCCGTTAGGCATTCTTTCTGGTCAAAACGTATCGACACAAATTCCACAAGTGTCGATACATGATGTAGACCTATTTTCTAATTAAACGGTATATTTCTACCAGTTACATTGTAAAGTTACCTATTACATTATAATTATCGGTTTCGATGTTTTTGGGATCGATACAATCTTAAATGTATCGACACTTTATTCGTACACCCCGTTGGGCATTCTTTCTGGTCAAAACGTATCGACACAAATTTAAAAAGTGTCGATACGTTATGTAGACCTATTTTCTAATTAACCGGTATATTTCTACCGGTTACATTGTAAAGTTACCTATTACATTATAATTTTCGGTTTCGATGTTTTTGGGATCGATATCATTTTCAGTGTATCGACACTTTATGCATGCACTCTTTTATGCATTCATTCTGGACAAAAAGTATCGACACAAATTTCACAAGTGTCGATACATGATTTAGTCCTATTTTCTAATTAACTGGTATATTTCTATCGGTTACATTGTAAAGTTACCTATTACATTATAATTATCGGTTTCAATATTTTTGGGATCGATACAATTTTAAAAGTATCGACACTTTATTCGTACACCCCGTTGGGCATTCTTTCTGGTCAAAATGTATCGACACAAATTTAAAAAGTGTCGATACATTATGTAGACCTATTTTCTAATTAACTAGTATATTTCTACCGGTTACATTGTAAAATTACCTATTACATTATAATTTTCGGTTTCGATGTTTTTGGGATCGATATCATTTTTAGTGTATCGACACTTTATGCGTGCACTCTTTTAGGCATTCATTCTGGACAAAAAGTTTCGACACAAATTCCACAAGTGTCGATACATGATGTAGACCTATTCTCTAATTAACCAATATATTTCTACCGGTTACATTGTAAATTTACATATTACATTATATTTATCGGTTTCGATGTTTTTGGGATAGATACGTTTTATAAATGTATCGACACTTTATTCATGCACCTCGTTGGGCATTCATTCTAGTCAAAACATATCGACAAAAATTTAAAAAGCATCGATACATTATGTAGACCTATTTTCTAATTAACCGGTATATTTCTACCGGTTACATTGGAAATTACCTATTACATTATAATTATCTTATTCGATGTTTTTGGGATCGATACTTTTTATAAATGTATCGACACTTTATTCGTGCACCTCAGTTGGTCATTCATTTTGGACAAAAAGTATTGATACAATTTAAAAAGTGTCGATATATTATATAGACATATTTTCTAATTAACCGGTATATATCTACCGGTTACATTGTAAATTTACATATTACATTATAATTATCTTATTCGATGTTTTTGGGATCGATACTTTTAATAAATGTATCGACACTTTATTCGTGCACCTCGGTTGGGCATTCATTCTGGAGATTACTGAAAATAATTCTTTAATAATTTGTTTCGATACATTTGCACGCAGATATAAAATACATTAATAACTTGTATTGATATTTCAACAATCCTCAAATGTCTCGGTATAAAGAGAAGCAAATATGGATATAAAAGCCCAACCAATCAACCAACAACGATTCGGAGATCAAATGTCGTTATATATTCGGAGCAATCAACCTAAATAAAACGTGAGGGAAATTCCGACCATCATAATTTTGAGTAACAAACAGGAAGACTGGAAAGGCGAAGAATGCCTTCCGAATACTATCCATTTCATCCAGCTCACGAAGATAGGATAACCGTAAACCGAAACCATCTGAGAGAAACATACCTGATATAGAAGCAGTTGCATATTTAAAATCTCGAAGGTGATCCATTTGGTTCTCAAACATTTAAAGCATCGGAAACATTTCAGACTTATGATTTGGGTGCTACACGGGTAATGCAACAAAATGCATCAAACAATTCTCGAGAATTAAATGCTAGATCTTTTAATAATAATGTTAAATAATGGAAGATACACACGTAAAGCATAAACCCCTGTACAATTAACAATGTAAACAGATAAAAGTTCTCCGGTATAATGCAAATAGTCGTAAATGACAAGTTCAGACGCTTGTCATGTACGCCTCTTATCATTGCACCGGTAGAATTTTACCGTTTACATTGTTAATTTAGCAAAGTATCGATAGTTTATACACGTGTACCTTTTAACTATTTTTGTTATTATTACAAGTTGTAGCCCTCAATTATCGAATTTTTAGTTGTCATTTGTTGCATTTCCCGTATACCACCCAGATCATACGTCCGAAACGTTTCTAATACTTTAACTGTTTCAGAACCAAATGCATCACCGTTGAGATTTTAAATCTGCAACTGCTTCTACATCAAGTATGTTTGGCTAAGACAGTTTTGGTTTAGGGTTAACCAACCTCAGTGAGCTGGCTGAAATAGATAGTATCCGGAAGGCATTCTTCGAATATCTAATATTCCTGCTTGTTAACCAAAAATTACGATGGTCGGGATTTCCCTCACATTTAATGTTGGAAAAAACAATGGAAATTAGGAATAATCAATGATAACATGCATATTATCTAAGTTAATAAGTTTTGAAAATGGTAAGTTGTTACCTTAGATATGAAATTTAAAACACTCACAATGCTTCCATTGAGTAAGTTGTTGTTTGGATGGAACAAAGACTCGGGCTAATATTTATAGTGGAGCCGAAATTTATATTGAAATTCAAACTCAAATTGAAATTTAAATTCAAACTCCAATTTCATATGAAATAAACTTGAAATGCAGTGTTAAATTGAACATGTAAATTGCATAATTGATTCATATTGTTCAAGAAACATGTGTTATAAACCATCAAGCGGGTAAAAGACAATATTGATTCAGTTCAAAGCTGAGTTGTGAGTTGATGGGGTTGTCACACTTGTCACATGAGAATAAAGTACTCACATGGAAGAGATATATAAATTTATGTACAACCCATCCGAATGGAATATTTACCATATAAGTCACATGTTATACTGTGGAATATTAAAATACACAGTTATTGTGTTATATGTTATAGTATTTTTGAATCGAATGAAAATATACACACAATATAATCAAACCAAAACATATATACATAACAAATTTATACATAACAATGTTCAAATAATGTACCCACAACGAAATTATTCCGATGAAAAAGGGTTATTTCTAACGAAGTCCGGAACATTAGGCGCATTCAACAAATTTTCAAAATACTCTCGTATGTTACCGCCTTTTTCTGAGGACATATATAAATAATTTCAATTATCAAACTAATGAGGTGCAATTTTACTAACAAGAAACTAAATTCGCATAAGCATAAATAAATTTGTGTCATACCTAGAGCATTGTCGTCCGAATGAGAAGCATCGTCGAAGGGATGTGGACATATGTAATTGTATTTCTATATAAACACATAAATTGTTAATCAATCAATGTATGAACACCAGTTTAACTGGAAAAACATATTGGATAAATGTAACTTACCAGATTATAAATCATTTTTTCCGCTGAATCATCGACCAACAGTGTATTTAGGTCGTTAAAATCAGGAAATGCGTTCCAAACATCATTGAGATCTTTACAGTAGGTAACATTATCGTCTTTTTTGCACTTTGCATTATCCTGTTCACAAACAGTCGAACATAAATATATAGGAATCATAGACAAATAAAAGTCAGCAAAGTGTAATGACATTCATCTTACCCAAATAAATAGAAAATGGTCAGACAACAAAGGTAGTTTCTCAATTACACGGTCAATGTTATTCCTGAGATTGTAATCAAGTTTGAATGTTAACATTTAATTGTATATTAACGATTTTGACTATAGTAATTCAATTGCTCAACAGTTCTAACCTCATCATGGAAGACCAAATGGCAACAATAAAATTCTCTACATAAAAATGCATAAATTCATATAATCATGTTCTGAGGATAACATCTACAACATGAAGAAAATGAGATTATTGTTGTACGTTTATATGTTAAAATAATGGATACAAAAGAATAGAATTAAAACCTTTTGGATGTCTTGGGAAGTAGGCAATGACATAATTGACATAAAAAATTACAAGTTTTCTTGCAGGCGGCATTACAGACACAATATACTTGTTTGGATCATCATCATCATCTTCATCGTCATCTTCATTGACTGCTTGGTTGTCCATATCTGTTAAAAGAAAATAAAATACATTTTACAACGTGTAAATGTTTAGAAACATAAATAATTAATTACCTAACTCGTTTGATTTCGTTGACGTAATTCGTCATGCAAGATGGAGACTTCATCCCGCAATGATGTAATATCGGCTCGCATTTCGCTCACAAAGGAATCAATATGCTCCCGAAATTTGACCATGTATTCCATCACTGTCTTAATTGTGACATCATCTCCACCTGGAGCTTCTCGAGCTTCTTCCATCATTGCGTCTCCCATTGGTTGGTCGTCTTCATGGCCAATGGGGTCGATTTCCTCCATCTCTTGATCTAATCTGACATCCTTGACACGCATCCAACCGACATTTTCAACAAAATCATATCCCGCTCTGGTAATAAATAACATGTCAATCTTACGGGTTAATCGAACAGGGGCGTCAAGCGAAAAATCAACTTTTTTCTTATTCAACAGATGGGTGATGACACATCCATACGGTAATGAAGTTGAAATTGATGCTCCCTTTGTGATCATATATACAAGTGAATTATATATCAGTTTAGCAATGTTTGGAGCCGTTTTGGATCTATACTTTGCTATCCACCAATAATCGCTGTCTCGAATCGTTGAATGTTTTCCCCCAGTAGGCTGAATAAACCAAGTGAGCATTTTGTAAAACACTCTCGACTCTACATCTAGGTGAATTGAGTTATTTCTAGCAACCCGTTGTATTGTAATATCTAAATCATTTTCATCTAAATCCCCTTTATTCTCTACACCTATACCCTTTGTAATAGTATCCAGAGAGATATATATATCATTCCCCATGACATGGGTATTAATTCCTATTATATTACTCTTATTAGGCTTACGCTGGAAGGAAACATTGTTGTAGAATTCTCTAACTAGGTTGGGGTAATATTTTGGTTCTACACCAAGGAATTCAAGCCAACCCCAAGGTGTAAATGTGGATTTAAAACTAAAACCATATTTATCATCGAACAAGAAACCTAGGTCAATGACACATTCGGGACGAATCTTCCTTACTTTGAAACTCCTCTGCCATCTATCTTTCTCCTTATCGGATCTAAAGTTCAGAGTTTCGAATGACCTGATTTGATCAGAAGAATCAATTGGTTGAGAAGGAGGTTGTCGTTGAGAAGAGCTTGGTTGAGAAAAGCTTTGAGAAAGATTGTGCCTCTGAAGCTGACGTTTTGGAGCCATTTTAGGCGTGGATGCTGTTACATTGGGACACAAACACATTAACGAAAATGTTCACAAACACATTAAGGAAAAAAAGAGTCTAATATGGAAATCAATCAAACTAATTTATGGCAAAACATCGATAAATTTTCTTGAATATCTGATCGTAACTGTTATGAGAACGCTAATATTCGTCGGATTCGAAGAGTTCTCTTCTGCTTTTAGGTTTAGGGTTTTTTGATTTAGAGGTTGTATCGATTATAATCTATAAATAATGAAGGGAAAACAAAAACGCGAAATTTAAAAAAGTATTGACATAAATTTAAAAATTGTCGATACATTATGTAGACATATTCTCTTATAAAACCGGTATATTTATATCGGTGATACTGAAAAATTACCTATTACATTATAGTTATGGGTTTATATGTTTTTGGGATCGATACGTTTTATAAATGAATCGATACTTTATGCGTGCACCTAGTTTGGGCATTCATTCTGGACAACGTACTTTTTGATTCGACTGTAGCAACAAACAAACAAAATTCGCTTTAGAAACGCCTTCTGAAATACAGCAACAATTACTCTTCGATTTAATCGACACTTGGGTTGTTGTGTCGACACTTGGGTAGTTGTATCGACACTTGGATATTTCCTTTATATTTTCATCGGATATATTATTTATATTTAACCGTGAGCGCAAGCACCTGACTACATGGGAAGAATTTCAAGAAAATTGGGACAAATATTACAAGCTACAGAGTTCAGTAGAAAAATAACAAGGACATATCATAATATACATTAAATCTCAGGCGATGTTGCAGACAGATAAATTCAAGAGTTTTGAAGCGCTCAAAACCCTTAAACATTTATGAGGGAGTGAATAAGAACTCATTTTCAAGGTACTTGACAATGTTTATAAAAAAAAATCCATTTGATGATGGGTACATACCTTCCAATTTTTGGGAAACATTATCCTATCAACATGGTGCATAACAATGTCTGGATGGAAAATGATAGCACCCTATTTCTTCATCTAGAGAAAGATCTAAAATTTATTTAAGCTTCATACTAAGAACTTTCTCATTTTATTGTTTCCATCGTTACACCTACGACCAGTGAACTTTATATGACAACATATGTTTTCCAAATTCACATAAAATAGAAATGAACAAGTTACCTTGGAGAAAGTGACTCTCTTCTGATACCATACAAATTCTGCGAGGACAATAGATGGCGTGACAGCAATCTATTTTGTCATTCCGATATCCGGCAGCGTTTTACCGATTTTGTTATTTCGAGACCGGTTTTGTCATATTTTTATCTGTTATATCGTTATGGATCGATATTTTTTTATAAATTATCGACACTTTATAGGTGCTATTACTGCTTCTCTTTTAAATTCCCAAAGTGTCGATACTTATATAAAAATAGCGACACTTTCAATATATCCGGTAGCGATTTACCGGTTTTGTCATTTCGAGACCGGTTTTGTCATATTTTTACCTGTTATATCGTTATGGATCAATACATTTTTATAAAGTATCGACAATTTATAGGCGTATTACTGCTTCTCTTTGAAATTCCCAAAGTGTCGATACTTATATTAAAGTATCGACACTTTCAATATATCCGGTAGCGTTTTACCGATTTTGTCATTTCTATACCGGTTTTGTAATATTTTTACCTGTTATATCGTTATGGATCGATACATTTTTATAAAGTATCGACACTTTATAGGCGCCATTACTGATTCTCTTTTAAATTCCCAAAGTGTCGATACTTATTTCAATCTAATCGATACTTTCAACATATCCGATAGCCTTTACCGGTTTTGTCATAATTAAACCGGTTTTGCCATATTTTTACTTGTTATATTGATATGGATCTATATATTTTTTATTTGATCGACACAAACTAACAAGTTAAGTTTGTCGGTTGCCAAATTTTTTAATATTTCTTCATGATTTACACCTACTACACTATTATTACTCAACATTTCCAATATCACTAAACCAAATTTATTAAATATCTTTTAATATATCTAATAATATATATTAACCGTATATTAGTTCGTATTTCCTGAGATCCCACAAAAAATTACGGTATCATAATAGCTAGAAGATACGAATGGGGAGGGCGGTCAAGCATGATAGCAGTTGACGGGTTCCGTCCAGAAATAACGAAAAATATGCGGATTCATTGCGGGGCCCTCAAAACACCACCTGACAAACCCGAAACACGTGGAAGACCCCACCAATGCCCACATTTTTATTTTAAAAACTCCAAGTCAAACACAGGCGGACACGCCGGTTTTATCCTTCCCTCCCCCCTTTAAACCCTGGTTCTGCTGTAAGAATCTACCTTCTTTCTTTGTCCCATTTTGAATATTTTTTTATTAATCTTTAAAATTTTAATCACAACTATTTAAATAATTAAATCTTAGAGTAAATTATATGTTTCGTAATTAAACTATCAATTTTGATATGTTTCAGTATTTAAATTTTTAATTTTTTAAAATTATATCTAATATTTTATTTATATTTCGTTTTAGTACTTAAACTTTAATTTTTCTAAATCATATTTAATATTTAGCTTTTTTTTCATTTTAATACCTAAATTTTTAATTTTTTCAAAATCATATCTAACATTTACTATTTGTTTCGTTTAGTACCTAATGTGTGATTTGCACCTTACACCTTTTTTATGGGTAAATTATATCATTCATCACTCAATTATCTTCTCACTCCTATTTTGATTATTAAAATTTAAATCCTTTTAATTTAAATCCTAGATTTTATAAAATATGTTTTTAAAACTTATATGATTAAAAATGCCTTCAAAAATATATTTTCTTAAATCTAAGAGCTCGATCAAAGAATAAAGACAATCGAGATATAATAAAGCAATAAAAAATGAGAAATGAATCATAATCAGAATCAGAATAAAAATCAATTCCATATATTCAGACATTCCAAGATCCATGCAACAGATCCTCATTTCACCTCAGATTAAAATAATAATAATGGCCACTCAAATTGATTTTTTTTTTTTTTTGAACTTGTCTGTACAAACAGATCAGTTTTGGGAGTTCCAAAAAAATTAGGAGAGTGTACAAGTAAAACACATAATGTATCACTGAAGAGGGTTAAATTTCACCTTTGTATGGAATGACTAATGAAATCAAGGAAAGGACCTGATATGCTACCCATAATCCCATGAATCCAATCTCTAATTTACCTTCAAGATCAAAATCTGCCAGTGGCAGCTTCTATGTTTACTTCATCACTCCACAGTCAGAACCCCAAAGCCTTTGGTGCTATCCGTAATAAAGGCTCCATAGCACTCGGTGCAAATTTTCTGGCGAAAAGGTAACAAGTCGAGCTCGGTTGATCGTTGTACCTACATTCGTGACCTTCGTGGATTCTCTTGAAA